GTATATATATATTCTTTTCTTGGCCGTTAATATCAAATAATATCTGTTAGATTTTTTTTTTTGTAGGGATTTCGGTCAGGTATAACTAATTTTATTATTTTTTTTTCTAACGTTTCGGTTTATTACACCATTATCAGAGAAACTATTAATTATTAGGTATTTGTTTTGAATTTTTAGTTACATGTTATTAGATTGTCTGTTTTAACGCAACTCAGAGAACAAGAAATAATAATTATTTAATATCTGTTTATTTGCTGGCGTGTTTTTGAAAATAATTTAAGAAGGTTATCGTGTTGCAGTGAGTTGTGTAATAGTGTAATATAAGTAATAATTATTTTAATCTGTTTATTTGCTGGTGTGTTTTTGATAATAATTTAAGAAGGTATTTGATGTAAATATGTTTTGACCGTGGGAGGCCTCTACGTCTACATCTTGTGTTTGTGAAAATGAAAGTTTTAGTGATTATAGTAATAAAGAAAATCAAAGTTCATTAGTGTTTTCAGTAAGAAAAATCGGCTAAATCTGAACAAACAAGAGAAATATTTACAATAATCTATTGACGCGACATGCTAATGACTCTAATTTGTATGATTTAGATGTACTAGGTGAAACAGCATCTCTGACTAACGTTCCTCGTCCTACAATACACAAACTGGTGAAAGAAGGTGCTCTCCCAAGAAAACAACGATTCGACGCTGGTCAATCGAAAACTCTGGACCCATCGTTAGCAAAACATTTAATAACTTTAGTTTACGACGCGTATCAGAGAAATGAAATCCCAACTATTGACGTGTAGACAGAAAATGAAAAGAAATGGATTATCATCTAAAATATACCAAAAGCACTTTAGGAACTTGTCTGAGAAAAATTGGATTAAATATCAAACTATTAATAAAGGTATGGCGATTTTAGAAAGTAGACGAACAGTGGATTGGTGAAATAATTATCTAGAAGAGATAGAAGAACTCAGGAGGGAAAATAGACCAATTTATTATGTAGATGAAACTTGGTATGATACTAATGACACCGTAAAAAAAGGATGAAGTGATGGATCTAGGAAATGTCAACCAATCTCATTGCCCCCTAATAAAGGGACTCGGCTGATTATATTACACTGTAGATCAGTTGATGGATGGGTTGATAATGCATTGAAACTGTGCGGAAAAAACATGGAAGACTGTAACGTGGATTACACAAGAATATGGAGGAGAAATATTTGAGGAATGGTTTAAAAACACACTAATTCCAAAATTAAAACCGATTATTGTTCTTGACAATGCGAAGTACTGTTCGAGACAACTGTATATAATTCATAAAAAGAGTTCTACTACGCCGGAGTCACAAATTCTTTTTAATGGAATATGACCTCTATTACGAGGAAAATTACAATAAAGCACAATTGTTGAAAGTCCTGCAAACGAAAATTATGAGAAGTATATTATAGATAATGTAACGGAGAGATATCACCACAAAGTGTTGAGATTACCGCCATATTTCTGTATTTTCAACCCGATTGAATTAATTTGGTGTAAATTGAAGAAAAAATGCCAGAAAAGGAAATACTTTTCCGAAATTCAATAAAAAAAGTTATAGAGTTAATTCAGAATGAAGTGTCGAAAATTAACAAGGAAGATTGGGAAAATAGTATTAGAAAAGTAATTATAATTGAGGATGATTATTTAAAAATTGCCAAAATTTCATTTAAACAGTGGAAATAAATTTATTATAAATTTGAACGAGGATAGTAGTTCATCTGAAAATGAAGAAGAGGGTGAGAAGGGCGAGGATTCAGAGGAAGAAGCAATGTAAGGTGAGGTAAAGTGAAATTATGTGAAGCGAAGAAGTGAATTTTGTGATATGAACTGCATTATTTAATTCCGTTTTTGTGCGTTCGTGGTTCAGTACTTGAGGAACATTCTTTTTAAGGATGTTATTATGTATTAATGTTATTATTTTTTTCATTTTGACAAAAATGTGTCTTTCTGTTTTTATTATAGTAATAACTTTACTATTAGAATTTATTTTTAGTTTATTTTTTCTGTTACTATTTTGAGAGTATATTTTTTGTTTTTATTTTGTTTTTAAATGTTTGTTGTTACTTTTTAAATAATTTCGTTATTCTATACTAATATTCCATACCCATCCTTTCCTGGCAAAAAATGCTTATACCTCCTCGCAGTTTTTGCTGGGTAGTAACAATTCATATTAAGCGAACTTGATTACTGTAACTGCTGTATGTATAGTCAATACTTTAAATTCAATACTTTTATTTCAGGTTAATACTTTTTTGTACAATTGTTAAATTGTTGGTAGCTAAACTGAGCTGTAAAAGTAAACCAGCGAACAACACAGTTTAATCCGGCTCTGCGTTCCGTATCGTCTTACCTCTCATATCCCGTCTCAATATTGGTTTCGCAGAACCTTCGATCATAAACACTAATCGAAGCGCAGAACTACACTGGGATATGAGCAGCGAGCATGTGACGTTACGCCGCTAGCCTCTACTAGGGGAACGTTTTCTAGTCTCGCTGTACTGGGACAAGTTCTATTACGAATGTCTCAAAATATTAATTAATTTTTTTTATTGTTACAGTGATTTAAAAAATATGTAATTTGCATGTGTTTAGATTACCGTTTTTTTAAATCAAAAGAACAACTGATATATGAAAATAAATCGTAGTCGGCCATGAAAAACACAAACGTTATTTTTCCTTATGTCAACAATTAATTTAAAACAAACGCTATTGTCATTTTGTTTTCCATGGCTGACTACGATTTTTTTTCAAATATCAGCCGTTGTTTTTAAATTAATTTAAAAAAACAGTTATCTGAACACATGCAAATTATATATTTTTGAAATCAGAAAAATAAGTTCTAACCAAATATACAAAAACATATAGAATATTTCATTTTAAAAAAGAAACTTTGTGTATTTTTGACACGATTTTCAATTATTTTTTTGAAAGGATATTCTTATGGTTCATAAGTAGAGACTTCATATCAAGTAGTCATTGCGCGCGAGTGCGAAAGAGCTAGGTAAGTACAGTACATTGGTGGAAGATGTACTCTTAGGCAAAATGCCAGCGACCTGAGAAAATGAAGATGGGAGATTATCAATCGAATTCACAGAGAAAAGTAACTATTAAAGTTGTTTATTTTTTTCTGAATTGCTAGATTTTTTTTTGTGTTTATACCATCATTTCTAATTACTAGTATTGATATATAGTTATATTGTAAATTTGGCAGAGGGACTTTGATCAATAGGTTTTTCCAATAAAGATTTTATTATTATATTATTATTATGTGCTCGTAGAGTCAGTCGTAGAGTGTTGATTAAATTAAAGTTTTTTCAAAACTATCATAGTTTATAAAAAATGTAGTCTGCGCATTATTTTCGGAGTTCTTTAATTCTACAGTTTATTAAAAGAGCACTTTTCGCGCTTTGGTTTCAAAATTTTTTTAATAACATTGCTCAAATTAATTGCCTCACATATTTCATGTTCTGTGAATAGAGTTTCTAGGGCTGAAAGTATTTCTTGACCATGAACAGTCCTAATAAACCGTTCGTTCGTTAAAACAAAGTAGGCACAATAGATATGAGAATTTTTATTGTTAAGTATTATAAGAACCAATACCGCCGGTCACCAATAAAAAGAATAAACCGACGGCAACGCTTACAAAGGGACGGCAATTATCTTATGAGACAATTATCTTATATCTGTCAACTGGATACAGTTTTTTTTTACTCTACAAAATGAAAAGTATGTTCTAGTATTCACTATGAAGAAACGTTCAGACGTATTTCTAAACAATTTTGCTCGGACCCCCTCGGAAATGTTAATGGCGATGCTCATGGTTAAAGGTAAAAAAAGCATCAAATTGCTTTTGCAGAGGTTATTATTATAAATAGTTCAAAGATGTAAATAATTGTGTTTCATAAAAAATTGGAATTTTTTTAATATACTTGCAAAAGGTTGAAAATAGGCAAATTCACGTATTTACAAACTGCCAAAAACTTATAACTTAAAAATTATTTACTGGTAACAAAAAAGTCATAAGACATTTTCTGTTGGAATTTTACTAAAGAATATTAAAGCAAATTTTGAATGGAAAAACATCCATATTTTTCAATTGTTTAAACAATTTTGATTTAATGTTTCTGGCAGGCAATATGCACTTCCATAATCAGTGCTTCATGCTTCATCCTGAATAGGATCCCGTAAAAAAAATTGAATACGAATAGTTGTTCATACGATTGCGCCAGTACGGCCTGGTCTAAATAAACCAGATTCAGAATATAATTTAATAACGACCGGGATACATTAATTTTGAACAAGATCGCGGCTGGCAGGATATACACGTGACCACAGTCCAAGGTATGTGTATTGGATGGATGACACGTTTACAGCTTGCATTCCCTGCCGTCTCTCCTCATCCAACTTATGTTGCACTCTAAAATTCTTCACCAAATTTATGTGTGGATAATTAAATTGAGATGTAGTACAAAAGAAGTGTTCTCTTATTAGAAAATGTGAGAATAGACGTATCTATGTACTTCATCTAGTCGCCACTAGATACCCACCACCGACTGGGCTGTAATTGTTAAAGAATGGGACAAAGGGGGTGTAGCTTCATTATAACTGCTACTTGCGACGTCTTTGTATTTTATTCTGTCAATGATAATAGATACTAGATTTGATTGACTGGGTACCAACTCTGAAAAATGGAAAATATTCTGACACCTGGTTATCGTCGGTCAGTCGACAGATACACAAACACTGAAACAAATTTTCCATAATAAAATCCGGTTGTTCAAGAAGGATATCTAAACAAAAAAAAAAAAATCCAAATTAAATTAAACACCATAGGTAATACAACTCCCTGTATCCCTGAAGGGATCTCAAGTTATCTTGTGTGGAGAGGGCTACACATTTAGAGACAATAGACACACACCCAATGCCCGAGTATGCCAGGATTAATTTCTGGTTTAGAAAAAAACTTAGTTCCTCGATCGGGGATCGAACTCGGGACTTCAGAGTGAGAGACAAGTGTCTTTACCACTCGACCACGAAGCCACGAAGTTAATTATTACATACCTATTTGATCTCATCAAAGAAATACTATAAAAAAAAGATATCGTACAGACAGAAAGTTCAATAGGTATATTGGTTTTAACAGAGTCAAATATGAATATAGGAGCGGAATCGTGAATCAGAAGGTATTCAAGATATAATAGGTAAGAGAATGTTAAAGTGTAGTAGTACATGTATGAACATATTAAAGTTTCATAAAACAATCTGAAAATGGTTATATAGGATTTTTTAGAAAGCATTCTTTAGAATAAGTCACGTCAGACTCGCTAACTTTTGTTCCAGTCTCCTCTGTCGGCCACCACTTGCCACGTAATTTGGTCTTTAGAGAACAAGACCCGACTACTGCATCTAGAGTGCCTAGCTCGCTTTCCTTTGACTGCAGTTTTCTCTTTTACTTTTTTATTTCATCTAGTTACCTTTACACCCAACTACGACGTCATTAAAATGAAATTTCTTGATTATGTAATTATAAGTTCGTAGACTGCAAATAGGCATAAAAATCCTCTATCGAAACCTCATTTTTTATTAAAGAATTTTTTACAGACTTGTATTCTTCTTTATAATTAATACAATTAGGTATACATATATCATAATTAATAAATAATAAATTGTAAAAAGTATAAAAGCATATTTCCGAAATTTTAGTGCTATTGTCTTAAAAGTACTAATTATATATAAACAAAAAATGACATTTAGGTATTAAAAATGGAAGTTTTTTGGCTCAATACCTAAATAATATTTCTTTAATTAAATAATTAGATAATAAATTTAAACAAAACATAACTCAGTTGGAAATTTTTTTGATATATTGTATTAATAATAAAAGTTTTATTGGCAGATATTACAAAAAAAATTATACAAACATTTTTATAGTTTCTAATACATACTAATCTGCTAAAAGACAGACTGTAAGCTGCTCCACTCTTACACTTAACTTATAAAATTGGGATGTTATGTTTTTATGTTGGTAACGTTTAAACTTTAATTCATGTAGTTAGTGCACAAGCTCAGCGAGTACGTGTTGAATAGCGAATGTTTTACATGAAGATTTTCATATACTTTCTGCTTCATAATAATAATAATAATAATAACAAATTCTAAAGTGTTAATCTTCAATTCATACTAAACCTAAACCTACCTAGTCCTTAATCATTTATTTGTGTGTGTAGTGTTATCTATATTTAGAAAAATAAATGTCCTGTCTGACTGATTTATCAATGCCCAGCCCAAATCCCTGGACCCAGCAACATGGAATTCGAGGAGTATGTTCATTTTATAATTTAAGCAGCCACTAAGAAGGGATTTTTTCAAATTCGACCCCTAAGGGGGTAAAAAGGGGTAAAATGTGTTTTCACGGATTTCTCAACTCTTAGTCCCGATGGGGTAATTTTGTTATTTTTATTATTACGAAAAAATGATAAATAAAAAAAATTAGGACATTTTATGTATATTTTGAAAATTATATCAAAAAAACAATGAAAGCTCACAAAAATGGCTATGGTTATTAATTTTATTTTTTAAAATGAACACCATGTATATTTTTACATATTTGATCACCTTGTGGCCGCAGTGGAGGGTCCACAAGAATCCACTCTCAAGAACATAACCTAACCTAACCCTGTACATCAGTTCTGTACTTATGTAATTTTTACTTTCTTATATTAGGGATATGGAAGGTGTGTATCCGCGATAACTCAAAAAATACTAATGGGAGACTTCCCAAACTTGGCAGTTAAGATTGTCAACAACATTTTAGGTGACACATTAAATTTGGTGAATGTGGTACCACCAGAAGAGACACAATGAATGAAGGAGGAAAAAAAGGTACAATTTCGGGAAAAAAAACGAAACATTTTTATTGCATTTATGGACGAATTTCGATCAATTATAATGAAAAAACATAACTTTATAGAAAAAATCTGCCTGCATGTCTGTATTATCGCAATAGCAGCCACAGTTTTTGAGATAAAGCTTTCAAATTTGGTACACATGTTCTAAAGGCCAAAGACAATGATAAATTCGATGATAAGCAAAACTGGCCAGCTGAAAGGAGATCCACGGGACTCAAACTTTTTTGTATTTGCAATTACAAAAAAAATATATTCTTGATGAAAGATTATATAAATCATGTCTACTATATCAAGCCAATAAAATATATTTTCCAATTACTTAAATAAAGCTGATGTAAACTTAAATTTTTTATATATTTGACCTCACAAAATGGGGTTAGGATAAATTTAACAGTTTGACATTTGAATTGTCTAATTTAGTTACAAAAATGTCAATGTCAATAAGTAGAAATTATTAAAATATATGACATGAATTATTATTGACAGTATCGAATGACGCTAATAATTAATTATTTAAAAATTTTAATGAAACATTTCAAGGTACGCTATTAAAATTTAATTGAGGTAAGTGAAGAATTAAATAGAATGATTTTTTACATCATGATGATATATACTAGTATATGAAAGTTATGTGCTGGCCAGATCAGATATTATTGTATAGGTACGGTGGTGATTTATTTAGAATCAGCTGGTGCCAAAATCAACAAATATGTATATATCTTCTTTGCTTAACATTCAACCAATTAAGGTTTTTATACATAAACAAAATGTGTTCGAACTTCTGAAGTCCGTAAATTAGTCGCACACACATATTTTGAATACGCTGTAGTTTCATATTCTCTTGGTTACTTAAAAATTGACCATAAATCGCGTGAACATGGTTTAAGTGAAATAGAATTAGCGACTCATAAAATATGGTGCGATTTGCAGCGGACAGCACATCTTTGTGACTATATGTTAATTTTATTTTACTAACAGTTTTCCGAACTATATTAGTAACATGAGTAGACATTCAACTTAGAATCTATGTATACCCCAAAATTCTTTGCAGTATCTTGTATTTGAAGAATATAAATATCAATCAGATTCACAGCTCTGGCTTAAGGTAGCTTACTTCCAAAGACCATTACAGAAGATTTAGTTGAATTAGCAGATAAGCAAAATATCTCAGATAGACAAATTACACTACGGAAACACAAATTTTTCGTTTACGGTGCTACTCGAAATTCTAACGAATACTACACTACTGACAATTGCACCCGAGAAACAGCTGCTTCATCGCCTATAAATTCAGGTGACCTGACGAAGAGAACAATACATTGTTTTTTACTTGGCGTCTAGTCTTGCCGGTTATTTGGTATTATGACCACTGTACTATGAAGTTTATGTAAAAGTATGTGAACGAACAGGACGAATTTTTACTTTTTCTATGCTTATTTTATTTATATGAATATCTGGCTTTGTGGTATAGAAATCTATCCATCGTAGCTGCGGATTCAAATCCCGCCACCATCATTAGCAATGTTGATGGGAATGGTTGTATATTTACGTTTTTCTCTGTGTAACCCCCTTCTAGATAGCTTCAGCTTTGAATTCGGGGGTTGTCTAATTTCTGTGTTGCTTATTATTAATTAATATTTATTAATATTTATAAATTATTGTAGACTATAATATGTCAAAAATAAATTGAAGTATTAATCATTTTGGAGATCTTATAAGCGAATATTTTATTAACTTTATTAATAATTTTTCTGTATTAGGTTTTAAGCCAATAATGTTCACAATAATAAATAAATAATGGTAAATTGTTAGATTTAGTAATATCAACAAAAATATAAGTATGACGGTTCAACATTCTGATTGTCCGATGGTTCGTGAGAATATCCAGCATAAAGCTCTCGAGATTTTCTTGGATATTGCAATAAAAAACTTTTACCTAGCTGTTCTTACAAAGTTTGCGGTAAACCTTGTTTGACAGCTCTTGGCCTGTGAAATTTATTGAGATGATCTTTGAGGAAAATTTTTCTATTATTGAATAGCTCTATGTTAATAGATGTTTTTAAAAAAAATATTAAAGTTCAATGATAATTTGTTTTGGGGAAGTGAGAGATCGACTGAACCTTTTATGTCAATTTTTATTTTTACTAAAGGTGTTTTGTGCGTGTGTAACTAACTGAGCCACTGCATCATTTGTACCAATTTCTGGTGGATATCCAAATTTGCCTGAAATGAGCAGTTAATTGTGTTAATAAATCATTTCAGACGAGCTTTTACCATGCATTCAAAGTTTTTGTTAGGCATGAAAGAAGAGAAATACATCTATGCCACAATAAAGGATCATAATACGCAAAAAAATAGGTCAAGTTTATGCATTAGATTTTTTGTTAATATTGTAGGAATTTCAATATCTTTTTGCGGATAGGTCATTTCCTTTGCAGTTTAGTATCATATGTTAGATTTAATTACTAAGTTTGTTATACAGGGAAACATATAAAGTATGTAAGTAAGTAAGAGAAAATGTAAATTCCATTAAATTTTAATTTGGCCTGAGGCAAGTAGGAGGCTATGAAAATTTCTTTTGAAAATGTTTTGGTTATAGCCTCTTCCATTGAAAAATAAAATTGTTCCGTTGTCAATTAACCGAACAATTTTTAATGAATTGCCTGTTTTTGATTTACCAAGAGCCGTATGACAAATTGCCTGGCGTAATACGTACAATAGGAGAGGCCGCAACCGAAAAATTTATTTACATGTCCTTATACTTCGTTTCTCTGTACAACAAAGCTCGTAGTTAAATTAAACGCGGCTGTATTAAACTGCAGAAGAAATGACCCATCTGAAAAAAAATATATTAAAGTTTAATATTAACAAAGAAATGAATATATACACTTGACCTATTTCTTAGCTATTCCATAATTTTTGTATGAAGTATATTTACGGTGTTTTCTAGTAAGCGATATCACTCTTTCCTTGAGTTTATCTGTATGTTCACTCTGTACTCACCAATTGTTATACACCTTCAACAATATTTTTTTTGCAGATTCAGTTAAGAAAGATTTTACTTTTATACTAGTACATTTAGATAAAAATGATAGTAATAATATGCAAGAAACTAAGGTATTTATTATTGTT